TGGAAGACACAGATGAGCTAGCAAGTCCTATTAGATCAAAGTCTTCTGGGGGCGCCTGGGTGGCTCAGTCAGTTGAGTGTCTGACTTTGGCTCAGGCCATGATCTCAAAGTTCGTGAGTTCAGGCCCCGCGACCAGCTCTGTGCTGACAGCTGGGAGCCTGGAGCCTGCTTCGAATTCTGTGTCTCCTCCTCTCTCTGCCCCTTCCCCACTCATGCTCTGTCTCTCTCTGTCTCTCAAAAATGAATAAATGTTAAAAAAAAATTTAAAAAAAAAAGTCTTCTGTGTCCCATTGTTTCTGTATGGCCCAGCAAACATTTGTTTACCAAACACTCTTTTTCATCTTCCTGTGAGGTGCATTGCTTCCCATTGAAGTCCCAGGTCTCTACCCTCTTCTCTTTAGTTCAGAATGACATGTATACCTCATTCTGCCTGTCTTTGGAATTTCCATGTCTATGTGGGTTCCTCGAATGTGCACTATTAAATTCGATTATGTGCACTATTAAATTCGATTTCTCCTGTTACTCTGTCTCATGTCAATTTGATTCCAGCCAGAAAGTCCATTGTGGAGACAGAATTTTCACCCTGCCATCAGCGTCTAGAAAAGTGCTACACATATTATGTACCTAATGTGAAAAGATAGATCTTAAGAGGTAAAAATCATGCCTCTCATACAAATATAAAATGAAAACACATCAAAGATTTTATTGAATTCATTAATAAGGGAGCCAGTTCAAAGCAGAGTTCCAAAAAACACACATAGAGGCACCTGGGTGGCTCAGTCGGTTGAGCGTCCGACTTTGGCTCAGGTCATGATCTTGTCATTCGTGAGTTCAAGTCCCGCATCAGGCTCTGCGCTGACAGCTCAGAGTCTGTAGCCTGCTTCGGATTCTGTGTGTCCCTCTGTCTCTGTCCCTCCTCCACATGTACTCTCTCGCTCTCTTAAAAGGAAATAAACATTAATTTTTTTTATTTTAAATTAAAAAACCCACATATATAGTGTTAAAAAACAAAACTCAACTGAGTACATTTTAGAGAACTTACTGGCTTTATTCAACAATTGATGCGTCGGGCAGCATCCAATCTAGCAGACAGGAAGGAGCTCCAAGGAGTTGTACAAAATGAAAGACCATTATGGGCAGAAAGGAAATTGTACTAAACAAAAGTGAATTGTTTATTGCAAGGTTACTTTCCTTTAGGGCCTGGCTGGGGTCTGTCAGGCGGGTTACCTCACTAATGCTGATCAGAAGATTCCACATTGACTGGTTTAAGATTCTATTTCTGGGAGAGCTGAAATAGTAATTAAGTCGAGCCTCGGTTTGTTGATGTGGGACTTAGCATTAGTGACTGTATTTGAGGCCTGTTGTCTTGTTTTTAACAATAGGGAATAAAGAATG